AAACCTAGCGTTTTTTTTTGCCATCAAAAATAATATTTAGCACATGCTTTTCATTCGTTTACTCGTCCAGTGATGTGCTCCTATGAGAGGATGCAGGTTGTGAAGTTTGAGATGCAGAGTTGCAGCACCCAAGAGGCACTTACTTTACATGGAAGTGTTTTGGCCTCGTCTTGTCTCAAGGTATTTCGGTTATCGGGTGTCTTGTAAACGTTAGCTGCACAGTGACGCCCAACAATCATGTCCGCCCAGAAGGGACTGGTGGGTAGGATCACTTTCAACACCGTTTGAGGCATTAGTATCAGCGGTGGTAGTGAGGGCATCATTATCGACTGTATCTGCAGTGACGGCGCAAGCGTGCAGATCGTCGCACTTGTTACGACGCCACTTGCAGAATGGTAGACTGTAGATTGGTAGGAGGTAATCATCTTCAAGTTTGGCCATTTAGGTAGGTATGATCCGCTTCAAGGCCGACCCACTATGCGCATTTACAACCACAAGTATTTCCTAGGTTTCTTTCCTAATGCAGTTGAGATTTTGCGAAATGTATTCCTATAGGAATGCTGGTTTTGAAAACGATGTGTCTCGTGACATTCAAGGAAAGCAAATTCGCAAAGCAACTTCCATCTTGCCTCGGTTCAAATGACACAAAAGCAGTACGTTTTTCTCATACCCACTCTGTACAGTGGAACGTTGTCGTGACGCGTTTCAATTTTACGGATATGCGAAGACCAAGAACTGGTGGAACGAGTCTCGTCGAGGCTATAAGCACTACATGTGGTCGGTATTTTGCGTAAAGGCACCAATAGAAGTATTTCTCCTCTTTTACATTTCTGTATGGCTAATTATGCACTTGGGTGGTTGCTCGCTCCAGTGAGCACTTGGTGCTGTCAGTCTCTCATATGCTCAATTGTCGTAATCAAGAGGAGGCATAAAACAGAGCAGCCCCGAAATACACCTCTCAGTCAGGCATCACAAAGCAGCATGCCGCAAATCATTTGCG